CTCTGCTTTTACGTATGGTTACAGTTTTTTTTTTAGTAAAAAAAATTAAAAAGGGAAGAAAATGAAAAATAGGAAATTGAAAAATAGTAGTAATATGGGGGAATTACTTTTTCTCATAACAACTACTGTAGAATCATTTGAATCTTTATGTGTGTGTAAAAATAAGTAATTTTAAAAATTAAAAAGTGAAGAGGACCTAGCAAAAATATAATACATAATGGCGAAACTTTAGATGCATTTCATTAAAGGTAGAAACAGCAATGATGCATGCTCTTTGACATTGTACTGGAGTCTTAGCCTTCACAATAAGACAAGAAAAAGAAGAGCTAAATAGATTCGGAGAAAAAAAATATTGTTATTTGCAGACAATATTGTATGTATAGATAATCCAAAATTACTTACAAACTGCAGGAAAACTGCTGGATATAAAAGCAAGACACAAAAATCAACATTGTTCCTATATATGGCAATAACCGATAGTAACTAGAAAATGTGATAGTACAAAATTATATATAAAATGGCAACAGAAACTGTAAGGTACATAGAAATAAATCTCTCAAAAGATGAGAAAGCATTTATAAAGAAATTATAAAACATTATTGAAGGATGTAAGAATAGGCTTGAATGAAATAATAAATACATCAATGATCTCCCAGATTAATCTCTAAAGTTCAATGCCTCGACCCAAAAGCTCAACAGCAGAGCTTTTTAGGAACTCGATAAACTAGTACCAAATTTCAACACTTCGAAATTGTGAGAAACATTTTAAAAATAAGAACAAAGGAGGCGTGTTTTTACCAAGTATTAAGGCTCATTAGAAAGCTGTCGTACCTAAAGTAGTGAAATACTGGGACAGGGATAGAAAAATAAATTAATAGAATAGACTAGAGATTCCAGAAATAGCCTCATATAAAATTTGAAATAATATATTATACAGATGATAGTTGAGAAATGGTGGACAATTCAATAAATGGAGTAATTGGTTGCCATGTAGGGGAAAAAATGAAGTTACATTCTTACTCCACACATAACACAGAAATAGATTCCAGATGGGTTAAAGCTCTAAATATGGAAAATAAAAGTTAAATTTTTATTTATTTATTTTTATTTTATTTTATTTTATTTTTTTTTGAGACGGAATTTCTCTCTTGTTGCCCAGGCTGGAGTGCAATGGCGCGATCTCGGCTCACCACAACCTCCGCCTCCTGGGTTCAGGCAATTCTCCTGCCTCAGCCTCCTGAGTAGCTGGGATTACAGGCACACACCACCATGCCCAGCTGATTTTTTGTATTTTTTTTTAGTAGAGACAGGGTTTCACTATGTTGACCAGGATGGTCTCGATCTCTTGACCTCGTGATCCACCCGCCTCGGCTTCCCAAAGTGCTGGGATTACAGGTGTGAGCCACCGCGCCCGGCAAAAGTTAAATTTTTTAGAAGAAAATACAAAGGGAAATATTTCTATTCTCAAGGTACAGAACACAAGACACAAAAAGCTGAAATAATAAAAGGAAGTATTGATTGCACTATAATTTAAATTTTCTGTTAACAAATGACCCCATCCAAAGTAAAAAGATAGTGACAGATTAGAGAAGATATTTTCAACATATATTATATAGAATATATAAAATTCATATCAGAATACATAGGGGTCCTACAATTTGATAAGAAAAACAACCTAATAAAAAGCCGGGCAGAAGATATAAATAATTCACAGAAGAGAAAATCCAAACAATGAATAAATACAGGGAGAGATACTCAAAATACTTAGTAATCAGAGAAATAAAGCAAAACGAGATGCTGTTTTACACCTATCAGACTGATAGAAATTAAAAAGTCTGAATGTGAAGATGTTGGGAAACTAAAATGCAGCTGGTTGGACAACTAATTTAATACAACTAATTTGAGATAAAATTCAGGATATGGTCCTAATTAGTTGAAAGCTCATACATTATATAATACAACAGTGCTTATACTCAGCATATACTTCTAGATATACACCTGGAAGAAATTCTGACACATGAACACAAAGAGACATATGAGAACATTCACTGTAGAATTTTAAAATAAAAATAAACAGGAGGAAAAGCTGGAAATAAAGTATAAAAGTTGGATAAATTTCTGGTAAACAAAACGTGCTGTATCCACATGCTTAAATACTATGCAGTAGTTAAAAATAAATGAACTAGATCTAGCCTATGTATCAGCATAGACAGATCTCAAAAATAATGTAGAATTTATTTGTTTATTTATTTATGGAGATGAAATTTTGTTCTTGTTGTCCAGGCTGGAGTGCAATGGCTCGATCTCAGCTCACTGCAACTTCCGCCTCCTGGGTTCAAGAGATTCTCCTGCCTCAGCCTCCCGAGCAGCTAATTTCTGTATTTTTAGTAGAGATGGGTTTTCACCATGTTGGCTGGGCTGGTCTTGAACTCCTGACCTCAGGTGATCCCCCCACCTTGGCCTCCCAAAGTGCTGGGATTATAGGCATGACCAATCACACCTGACCATAATGTAGAATTTAAAAAGCAATTTCCAGAATAGTACAATGTATCATTTATTGGGAGTAAGAGAATGGGGACAAGCATAGACAGCCCTTTTGAGAAGTTCTGCTGTGAAATGGAACGGATTGTAATAGCTGGAAGTATAGTGGCTGATGAGAGTTATAATTTTCTTTTTAAATGAACGTTACTAGAGCTTGTTTGCAAATGGGTGGGAAAGATCTGGTAGAGAGACTGAAAATCACTCATAAGGAGCAAAATCCTTGGAAAGGTGGAAGCTTCAGCTCCAAAGCACAAAAGGAGCATGCTACCTTCTTTTAGGCAGCTAAATGGTAAGAGGCCATGGGATGGAATGACAGGGCTGAATGTGTAGGCTGTTGAGGAGAAGGAACCTTCAAGTAGTAATGCTAATTGGATGTCTGCTAATATTATAAAGGGGAGTCTGGTTAAAAGGCAGCACAAAAGGACCTCCCTCCTGTGACACCCTGCCCTTTCGGAGAGTCTGGGACCATGCTATTGTCACTCCTAACGTTGTCTTTTTTTTTTTTTTTTTTTTT